AAGTTCAACCAGCGCTTGGGCGTGCCGCACACCTTGCAGAGCCTCACTTTGGGCTCCGGGTTCCGCCAGAGCTTGGAGCACTTGCCAGAGGGCCTGCAGAGTCTGAGCATTGGGCAAGAGCTGAAGTACATGTGGGGAGTGACCTTGCCAGCAAACTTGCAGAGCTTGGCTTTTGCCGGCGATTCAACTTCCAGCTTGCAAGGATTGATTTTACCCGAAAGCTTGCAAAGTCTGACACTCTGTGAGCATTTTTCCCACAGCCTGCAGGGAGTGTGCTTTCCCTGCAGCCTGCAGAGCCTGACTTTGGGCTTTCAGTTCAACCACTCTTTGCAGCTTGCCTGCTATTTGGTTGGATCTTAACATTTAACTTTTTGGTTGAACATGGGAGTTGTCCCACCCATTCACAAAAACAGTGGTTATTTGTTTTGCCCTTCTGCACCGGGATTTTCACAAAGGCAGGGCGTGCGCTTTCCAAACTCTTTGCAGAGCCTCACTTTGGGCGTGCTCTTCAATCAAACATTGCATGGAGTGGAGCTGCCGAACAGCCTGCAGAGCCTGACTTTCGGGGAGAAGTTCAATCAACACTTGGAAGCATTGCCGGACACCTTGCCACATCGCTGGACTTAAAACACCATTTGAGATGAACAATGTTTTCTTTTTTTGAAACAGGTCCACCTGGGGCTTTCAACCATCCTTGTGGTTTGTCCGGACGTATCCACAAATGGAGGATCACCTTTGATGTTTGGCAAAGCTCTTTCTTTCGTTTGGCAGCGAAGTCCGGCCCTGTGGCTCACTTCCTGAGTTTCTGGACTTGAAACACTTTTTGGGAAGACCGTTTTTGATTCGGCAAAGAAACCGTGGCTTTGCTTCTACAGGACCAGCAGAGTCGGGGGGTTTGAGTTGGCTAGGTCCCCCAGTAGTGCCCTTCTCTCCTTTTTATTGGTTGGGAGGGTTCCCCTACTAAAATAGACAAACCAGAAAAAAGAAACGGTACCCTTATTCTAACCTCTCAAATCTGGAGGACCTAGTTGGGTTACCTGTTAGTTTACGTTCAAGCGAGCATCTTGAGAACTCTCGGCTCGCCCGCTGGTTCCCAGGCAGTCGCTGAATCTTGGAGGGGATTTCAACCAAAGCCTCGGGGGAGTGGCGTGGCCAAAGCACTTGAGGAGCCTCACGCTCGGGGAAGCTCGGTCGAGCAGCTCTAATCTGTTGAGTTTTTGGTGTTGGTTTTGGTTGGTTGGCCGGTTGGTTGGTTGGTTGGTTGGTGTTTCTGTGTTTTGGGCTGTGGTCCACAGGTGAGACCGGATGCAACTGATTGTTTGTTCAGTGATGCGCTACCATTTTCAGACAAGGCAACCAAGGCAAGTCTCACGTTTTATTTCGATACCCTTGCATGTGAGTGAGGAAAAGTTCAATCAAAGCTTGCTGGGACTACCAGCCCACTTGGAAAGCCTGACTCTGGGCCGGTTCTTCAATCAAGGCTGGCAGGAAGTGACGTTGCCAGAGGGATTGCAAAGCCTGACCTTCGGCGCGATGTTCAATCGAAGCCTTGGAATGTCATTGCCAGACGGCCTCCAAAGCCTAACCTTTGGCCGGGAGTTCAACCAGAGCCTGGAAGGGATCCATTTGCCAACCAGCTTGCTCAGCCTCGCGCGCCTTGATTGAGATCACAAGTTTTGCTTCGGATACGGAAACAGGTACGTGTCCCCACTAGCGGAATTGCGCCTAATTGCTTGGAAAATGAGAAAATGACACACTCATACTCAAAGTCTTTGGGGTGACTTGGACCAAGCGACTGCTTCCCTTTCACGTCCATTTTTCCCGGGACTCGATGGAGCGAGGTTCGGCGACAAGTTCCGGCAAAGCCTTCAGCAGGTCTGCCTTCCAAGCGGCCTGCAGAGCCTACGCCTTGGACCCTTCTTTGACCTACGTGGGCAAATGGCCTTTTTGCCCGACAGCCACATGGCCAGACAATTAGATGGTGGCTTTTCCATTTTCTGTGTTGTTTTTTTGGCTTCCGGAATCAAGATTTGGGGGTGTACCTTTTTTCTTTTCCGGCTCGGTTCCCGTTTTGGGCTTGAGTTAAAGAGAAAACCGGGCGAGCGAAGCCGTGTTCGGGGGTCCGAAGTGCGTTCTATTTTGACTCACACGTGGCTGAGTTTTGAAGCATGGATTCCCAAAATGGCCTTAATTGTTTCCTCTTAAGACCCACAAACACGGGGCACCCATTTCCAACCCCAAATCCGGCAAGTCTGGCAGAGGCCTGAGCAGCTTGCAAGCGGGAGGTCTGGCAATCAGTACTGGAACCTGAAGATCTGAAGCCGGAGAATGTTCAGAGTCTAAGTGGGTTCCAATAAACAATAGTACTCCCTGAATTCGTGGACTTTAGTCACTTTTTGGGTTTGGACCAGTTTAGTGGCAAACAAAAAGTGCGGTTACTTTTTGTGGCCAGTCCACTCAAAAAATAATCACGACGGGCTTCAGCTTGCATCAAACCACTGCCTAAATCCGCCAAAAGGTCCACAATTAAAATTCATAGCCATTGGAAAAGAACCCATTTGGGATCGACCTCATTTGAAATGGTCTCACTCAAAACCGCCTTGCCATGGCTCGACCATGTTGCCAGGTTATGGCTCAGGTAGGTCACGGCGAGGGGCCGAGTCGGGAGAGGTGTTGGAAGCAAGAGACACCGTTGCTCGGACCCATTTGGTGAAGTCATGATGCTTTGTGGCGATTTGGTAGCGAATCTTTGGACGGACTAACCTTTTGGTTGACACAGATCGGAATTTTCAGAATTGGACCCATGCACAGAAAGTGTCCTTTTTGCAGGGCCTCGCCAGCAACCTCAAGATGGTGTCTTCCAATATCTTATGGATTTCGAGGGTGAGGCGAGTGCTTCCTGGAGGTCCTTCACTCGCGGATCCATTAACATATGTCAGGTGTTGAAACTATGGTAAACAACCATATTATATATTTGTTTAAGCACTTGCAGTGGGTGTTTGTTCATTTCAACCTCAATGGGTTGTATACATGACCTACATATAGATATATGTTTGATTGTTAATGAGCATATATACATATAACAATGTGTGTGTGTGATGTTTTGTTGGAGCCTCCACCAACTGGTAACGCCCTTTGCCAACCAACCTGGTGTTTTTCTTTGGGGCGGGCGTGTTTGTCGGAGCCTTCAAATCGTGGTTGCACGATTTTCTCTTTTATGCCCAGCCATAAATCAACGCGTGTAGTAAGCTTGGCTTGGGAGAGGGAGAGGGAGAGGGAGACGGAGGGAGAGGGAGGAGTACATCAATATGCCTTGATGGTTGGATTGTTTTGATTTCGGGGATTTGAATTCCTGGTTCTTATCAAAAGTAAATGGGAAAACAAGGCCGCCAAACCAAACCACCAACTCTAGGGAAGCTGAAGGGCCAGGGCGGGAGAGGGAGGTTCCCATTCAGTGCATTGTTTCGCAGAAACTCTGTCTCGTTTTGCCGCACCAACAACCCACGTGGAACGAAGAGCATTGGATGACAGGGCAGGGCAAAACATCTGTCGCATGCACGAGCAAGCATCCAGACCACAGGTCACCCAAAGCAGGTGCCGTGTGGTCGAAAGGAATGGACGGATCCTGTTGGGGGATGGTTTGAAGTTCGAAAGGGGGGCCTTGCTACCCCAAACTATGACTGTACGTTGCCCATGTATGGAAAATTATATAGTTCAGGACTCCTTTTTGGATACTTTTCAGGGGGGACATCCCATTTAACGTCCACTACTTGTGGGGGGTTGGGTCGGCGATTTCTTGAATGCAAGCAAAGGTCCAAAGAGGCCAAAGGGTGCCTCGTTGGCGTGCATTCGCGAGCTCCTAACAGACAAATCCCCGCTCACCTAATCCAAAACGGAAATCATATGGAGAAGTTGGGCTGTTTTGGGGAGAAGGGGACCAGGAATCAACATGAAGCTGGAGGAATCAACATGAAGCCAAGCATTCAAGGGGATCCGGATATGCCATGAGAGCACGGCGCACGAGGAAAAGACCTCCGCCTGCACAAAGCGTGTTGCGCATCCTCTAGTAGGCCCCTCCTGCCCCAGAGCGGCCCTGCAAGGCCAGAAGGACTCCAAAAAGCGCTTTCGCGGCTTGCTTTGTTGGATCCAGGATGCAAATGGGGGGGTGCCTGTGACACTGTGTCTTTTGTAGGTATCCTTTTTGGGTCTGTTGAAGGGAACTCGAAAGGACAACTCCATGTCTTGGTGGTTTGCGTTTTTTGGGCGGGGGTGTCCCCCGGTTTTTCTTTTCTTTCTAGGGGTTCCCCTGCGCTCGGAGGTCGAGCACGGACATTGGCTGAACCTGTGGCTGGGACTAAGACTCGCTTCCTGAGTTCCGTTTGGGGCATCACTTTTACGGTGTGGACCATGTTAGTGGCAAACTAAAGTGTGCACTTTTGTTTGGCCAATCCACTCAGGAATTCACTGCGGACTAAAAGGGCACTAAATATTTAAACTGGCCAAATAAAGGCGGACCCATACGATCACTGGGTTTGTTTGCTAATTGTTCCCCTGCGATATTGGCCAGACAGATCCAAAGCTGATTGCCTGCTTGCGATCTCATTCTGAAACCCTTCCTGCAACTGCCTGCTGGTGGTATGTTGTAGTTGCCCCGAAAGAAAAAGCCTGTCAAGTTATTCGCTTTTTGCAGCGGGGCCGTTGCAGCAACCAAGGTGATGTCTTCCAAGGGTCTTTTTTATGGGTTTGAGCGCACCGATTCGGACCCTAGAGCGAGGTCTCCATGCAGGTCCTTCACTGCGGGGTCCATCAATATATGTCAGGTGTTGAAACTGTTGTAAACGACAATAAGTTGTATACTTGTTTAAGCACTTTGAGGGGGTCTTTATTTGTTTCAACCACAATGGGTTGTATACAGTGGGTGTTGAAACTGCTGTTCAATTTATGTTGTGTTTATTTCAAGAACTTGCATTGGGTGTTTACTTATTTCACAAGATGGATTTGTATCATGATGAGGTTTTTGTTGGAACCTCCACAAACTAGTAACGTCCTTTGCATTGGGTGGGCAGGTAAGCCTCAGGTTTAGCGACCCAAAGTTGAACCTCGTGTCCAGGGCTGCGAGGCCAGCGACTATCAGGCCGCTCATTGCAAGCGCTCCCTCGCGTCGTGTTTTTGTGTGTTCCGCGTGTTTCGGTACCACGTTGAATTTGCTGGACAATTCAAACGCAGTTGTCTTTGCGACTCGACTTTTTTGTGAAATTTTGATTTTTCATATTCGGTCCATGTTAACTTGGCAGCTCCCAGCTGTCCGGTTCCGTAGCTTTTTTTAAGTTTTTAGTTGGTTTAGTGGTTGGGTTTCCATGTAACCCACAAGCTAGTCACTTTTAGCAGGGGATCTGAAACGGACAGCCCAGTTAAGGTTCGCCTTTTCATCTGGGCCCAAACTGGGCAAATGAGCATGCGCTGAGAGAAAGATACTGATGGACAAAATCCATTTCGCGCCTAAGATTGAGGCAACCCTAGAAATAATGTGGATGGTTGCGAAACCCATTTTGCACCACCGAAGAAACCCTGGAACGAGGATTCCCCTGTAAATACCAACAAACAAATGGTGTCAATCATGGTTTCAAAGCGGTACGGGATTTTGTCCATCCACATCAATGTTGGATAAGCATGAACTACCAATCCCTGCTGGTGCGGTTTGTGGATTCTGTCCATCCACAGCAACTGGCTTTTGAAACAAAATGTAAAGCGACCAAACTTGATCCACTATCTGTTGATGTCCGGCACTGTCCACCCGGCGAACGGGGGTCTGCGGGTTTCAGTTCGATCGCAGGCCTCATTTTGGTTTCAACCGCTCGACGGTTGCCAGCATGAAACAGCAACCTGCGGTTTTGGGGAATCCGAGGAGGGCAGTTTCACCATTCGCGCTCTAAAGATGTTGGTCGAACGCCTGTTTGGGGAGCGCCTGTAAATTCCTGCCCGGGAACCAGAGACTGCCTTTTCCTTCTGCACCTCCAGTGAAGTTGGGGTTATTCATGTTTGAGTGTGCGTGTGGAGTGGCCATGATCATGGGGGGGGAGGGTAGATCTAAACTGCCGTTTGTTTGAAAAGTTGAATGTTGTCTCTGTTGCAGGGAGGCTTCAAACAGTACTATTGCAGTAGGGGTTTGCTTTTCGCAAGAAAGGTGGCCCCGTCTCGCATTGTTTGCCTTTTGAGACAAGCCCGAAACGGCTCTTTTTACGCTTGGCCATTTGTGGGCACCATGTGGTTGGTTGGTTGGTTGGTTGGTTGGTTGGTTGGTTGGTTGGTTGGTTGGTTGGTTGGTTGGTTGGTTGGTTGGTTGGTTGGTTGGTTGGGTTGGTTGGTTGGTTGGTTGGTTGGTTGGTTGGTTGGTTGGTTGGTTGGTTGGTTGGTTGGTTGGTTGGTTTCTTGGTTTCTTGGTTTTGTGGGTTTCTTGGTTTTGTGGGTTTCTTGGTTTCTTGGTTGGTAGCTTGAACAGGTATGAACAGGTCGGCTGAGGATCGGAGCTAACAATTTGAGCCACGAGCAACACCGAGTGGGCAGGGCACACTCCTCGACCCCTTGAATTTGCTCGTGCCCTGAGCTCGTGTTTTTTTGTTGAGGACACCCCTTTTGGGTTGGTTTAGAGAAAGCAACAGAAAGCTGACCATTTCGGGTCGATTTGCTCTCTTCCGAGGGACTCAGGGAGTCTCCGTGACCAAATGAAACATAGGCTATTACTCAACAGAAAGGAGTCATGAGTCATGACCCCGACTCCAGGTACCTTTGGTGCACATTGCTTGGATGTGCTAAGACCCCCAAATGGGTTTCCATTGAACCACTAAAGTTAAAAAAGTTAAACTATTCGCAGGGGAGCGGAAAGCAACCGAGTTGCCCCTTTCAGTTGATTTCCCTGTTCAGACAACCCCGAACACGACACCGCCGCACGCCCAGGTGGCCGGCGGAGCAGGCGAGATTTTGGTTCGAGAGTTTCTGATCTTTTTGACCGAATTGCCTGATTGTCTTTTTGGATCTGTTGGAAATAAATGAAGCTATGTTCATTAAGTGCTTAGATTTCATCAGCGAAAAGCCTGCGCCCTCAAACTAGCCTTGCAAAAGCCTCACTTCCTGAGTTCCTGGACCTTTGAACTTTGGGAAGACCACTTTAGTGGCAAAGAATAGTTTGGACTTCGTTTGGACCGTCAACTCGGGAGTGAGAAGCGGTGCCCTCTCTCCACTCACAAGGCACCTCACACACAGGGTCCCTCCGAGAGGAAGCTGATCTTCCAGGTACCCTCCGACAGTAAGCGGCGGGGTGTTGCCCTAAAGTCCTGGTTCGGGATTTCCCCTCAAGGCCGGGTGGGTCACTGGGTCCAGGGTCGAAGCCGATCCCAAAGTCCCGACGGAGTCTTAGGCCCAGCTGCCACGGGCTCCAGGGCGGAGGAGCTGGAGCAAGGCGGTTCGCGCTGGGCTCTGGGAGGGCTCTCGGTGTTTTTCTTGTTGGTGCGATAGGGAAGGAGCTTCCCGCGAAGAAAGGAAACCACCAGTTGGACGGTTATGTTTTTTTTTTTTTTTTTTTTTAATATTGCTGAGTATTTCAGCAAGTTGTGTTTTTGTTTCTGTATGTGATGTGTGGGATCCTTAAATTATTGATAACTCCAGTACGGGTTTGCAGCTGGGTTAACTTGAAGTTAGCTGGGGCTTAACTTGTGACTGAGCTCGGACCATCCAAGTGGGCGTTATGTGCCGGATGCTGGGTGTGTGTGTGTGTGTGTGTGTGTGTTTGTTTTCCAGGGTACCCCATGTTTGTGAATTTAAAAGGGGAATGTTACAATTTGTGAGGCTCCCCTAAAAGGGACAAACCCAGGTGAGTTGCCCGACTTCTCTACCTCGAGTCTTTCGATGTGTTGGGTCACTTGTGGAGTGCATGTGTATTTTTAGACTAGGTCCCCCAGTAGTGCCCTTTTACCGTTTCTTTTTTGGGGGAGGGTTCCCCTACTAAAATAGACTACAGAAAAAAGGTATCCTTATTCTATCCTCTCTGCTGGAGGACCTAGTAGAGATGATGACAGAGAGCCGGTCCCAATTGTTGCGATCACTTGGTTGCCCTTGCGCTATCCAGAGCGGCTCCGTCTCACCCATGTCTTCTCAGACAACCGAGCGCTGGTGGCCCCTAGGGCCTCGGTTGAACATCCGAGAGATGTTGGCTTACAAACAAAGAGTCCCGGTAGTGCTGGGCAGCTTTTTGCGCGAAGCAAGCAGCACACATGTGGATAAACACGCATCTCCGTATATATAAATAAAAAAAAAAACATACAAACAAATCATGGCCTGTTTTCTTTCTGTTTTCCCCTTTCCAATTCCATTTGGGTATGTGTGAAAATACTGTGGATGGTTTCAAAATCCATGGGAGTTGAATCATTCCTGGGTTTCTTAGGTAATGCTTAGTTTCGTCCATCCACAGTATATAGGGGACGTTAACACCCAATGTGGTGTTCCTGTTGAATCCCCAAAAAAAGCACCGAGTAATACATACTCTCTTTAGACATCTTTGGATGCACGAAATCCTGCACCAGCTAAGAAGCCCTGGAATGATGATTCCCTTGTAAATACCAATCAAACAATGGTTGCAACCATGCTTTCAAAGAACTAGGAACAAATTTCGTCCATCCAATTCCGAAATTCCTGACATGGCGCCAGATGCACCTGTCTTTGACTTAGACCACTGGCGTGTCTCTCTCGGGGATTCGGAATTGATGTGGCCTGGGCACCTTTAGGACCTATGCATTGGAATTGGGGAAGAGTGACCTATGCATTGCTTGGTTTTAACGTCCGGCAGCAGAAGCAACCACTTGACTGAATTGTTTCTACCACTGAGCCCTCGCTTGATTGCTTGCTTGCTTGCTTGCTTGCTTGCTTGCTTGCTTGCTTGCTTGCGTGTGTTTCTTTCGCGGGTCGTTACAACAAGTCCGCGGTCCTTTGAAAAGGCTACCACTTGGGGCCTAGTTGAAAGGAGCAACATGGGGGCTTGCGAGCGCCCCCCAATCCGAAAGCCTAAAGAATGTGCGCAGCGTGAGAGCCAATGCAAATCCTGCAATGCAAACCGGTGAGCTGGGTTTCTTATGGTGGACGAATGCCTTGTGGTAGTTTCGCGTCGGCTTCCCTTCAAACATGGACCCCTAAGCGGGACAGCCCGGCTTGGCACGGACCGAATTGAAAACGAGTTGTCAGCGCCGCTTTGCCGGACATGACTTGCATGGAAATGTATGCCCACTATTCATTTCCGAGAGTGTTCCATCCTTCAAAAATACAGCGAGATGAGAGCGCTGCTTGTTTCTGAGGCCATGATTAGTCGATTTCCCAACAAGACACCCAAATAAAATGGGTAGCACAAGCTATGCTTTCCACGCGCCTACCTAACACTAAATCCAGCAAAGTAACATCCTCACCAACCCCTCGTCGGGTTGAAGAGACGCCACCCCAATAGTAGCTTCCATAATCCCTCAATGCAACTCAAATAAACCCAGACTGAATCGATTGACTTTTGGTTCCACTAGAACAATTCGGAAGGTTTATATGGGCCTTGGGTGTTCGGCCAAGTTAGTAAGTTGGTAACCTAGGTTGTAACCCACTTGTAAGTCCCCCATTCAGTGGGGTTAAGCTTCTTGTGAGCTTATATGCCAAGCTACTTACTGACTTGGCAAATGGAGCATCAAAGTACTCGGAGATTTCTCACGTGGGTTTGTCATTCTCAAATAGGTGGACCCCCAAGTGGCTACTTAACTTTGCGAAGATCGGCCGATAGCCCCAGACCTGGCTGGATTCCTAGCGTCCAGGCCCTCCAGAGCAGCCAGCCCCTGGAGGTTCGGGGGGCGTCAGTTGACCACGTTGCCTATCACCCCCCCCCTCCTCCGCCAAATGGCCGTAGGAAGGCATGCTCCACTTGTTTTGTCTTGCTTATTTCCGTAAAGGGTTGCGATGGATATGTTAAGAAAAGCAAAGAAAAAACTGGATCAAGGCAGAGGTGGCGCTAGGGGGGTTGTACAAAGGATACAAATGGCGCCCATTCACAAGGCGACCATATTAAGATATATTCAGATATGTCAATGTCTTCACAGGCTACCGTCAGTTTCTGGTGTGTGTTTTTGGCAGCTGCTAATATGTGCATCAACCCACCATTTTGCTTTCCCCGGGACCCCTTTCTGGGAGTTGCGACAAACGTGAGTATATTTGTTGCTTGGGTCTCCTCCAAAATCACCAAGGGTTGAAAGCTTGATAGCGAGTCTTCCGATCGCAGCGGATTCCGCCGATCGCATCTCCCGCCGATTGGATCGGATCGATTCCGGTGTAAACCAGCGAGAAACGAAGAAGTCACTCCCTGAGTTCCTGGACTTTCGTCACTTTTACGGAAGCGGCACACAACAAGTTGCGACTTTTCTTGGTCCATCCACTCAGGAAGTGAGGAAGAAGGATGTTTGTTGCCAAGTTAGTGGTTAGCCACTTGTTTTTTGACATAAGGTTAATGCCATTGAACGGGGACTCCTGAGTGAGTTACAAGTTGTAGATGAACGGTTACCGTAGCAGCTTGCCAATTTGGTGAATCGAACACCCAAGCAAGAAGGACAGGGGTTTCATGTGCGGGGTCCCATTTGGTGTCTGTTCTAGGAAGCGAACCCCCCCAAAATGGTGGTCTTTCCTTTTGGTTTTCCTTCAAAACCGCAAAAAAGGTGTACCCTCAAAAGTGACAGACACATTTGTTGACCACCCAAGCTAAGGGAGTCTCAGGGCGCATTCTCTGGTCGACAAGTGAATCCCTGAGGATGTTCAGGGGCTCGCTTTGGTCTCCGAAATTTGATTCCACTCATGACAGTGTGGTTTCTCTGCTGGGTTGAATCTTTAGACTAACTGTTTTGGATACCCCCTCGTATTTCCTGACAGGTCCTTGGGACTCTTTTCGATGTCCTCTTTCCTTTACCACCGGTCCATGGCCCGCGGACTATTCTGCCAGTCATGCCGACCAATCACATGCGGGAAGCTCAGGGTTCCACTCTTTGACTGGATCCCAGTTCCCAGAAGGTAACCAGCCACGTTGCTCTTGGCTTTTAAAGGGTCTAGGTCCCCCAGTGCCCTTCTACCCTTTTTTGGGGGAGGGTTCCCCTAGCAAAATAGACTACAGAAAAAGAGTTGGTACCCTTATTCTAACCTCTCTACTGGAGGACCTAGGGGTGAAACATTTAATTCCTCACAGTCAACAGAATCCCCCCGCATGATCGTAATGTGGGTAGAGCCGCAGGGATCTGCAGTTCCCAGCCTGGTTTTTTGTTGTTTTCACGGGTGCTTGCTGTGTGTCAAATAGGGCCCCTCCCCCCCCCAAAGAAAAACAGACCCCCCAAAAAGAAAACAACAACAACTTCGGGGGTGTTTTTTCTGGCTGCAAACCACCGGTGAAAAGGCTTCCCTCAAAAAACAGAAGCCCGAATGGCTGTCAGGAATCTGGACATCCAGAGGATTAACATCAGGCAGGGAGGGAGGGAGGGAGGGGGGGGTTCTTTGATTCAATCACCACCTTAAAGCCAGTAAATTAACACAAAGACATGATTAATATCCAAAACATGGATTCTGAATTTGTTGTTGCCATTATGATAAGGGCTTGTAAACTAGAACTCTAGAAAATACCAAACACAAAAAGGGATAGAGGAATAGATAACATGAAAAACAAATGTACAAATAGAGTAACATCAACCATGAATGAGATGAAATACAGTAAAGCACGTGTAAGATATAAGTAGTTCGATTAGACAGCAACTAGTTTACTTCCGAGCCTCACTCACACGCCTTCCTGCTCTTCTTTCTACCTCCCTGTCTGTCTAGTCTATGAGAGATCCCACAATCCACTTCCAAGTCCTTTCTGTAGAGACTCTTCAAGAGGTAGGAAGAGGAAGGGCTGGAGAATGAGATTAAGAACTGTTCCATCCTCATGATTCCTATTTATTTTACAAAATTGTTATTTTATTTGCATAGCTTGTATTTGGATTTCATGGTGTATTGTATGATTAATCCCATTCTGGTTGTTTTAATATATTTGTTTCATGTGTTCTATTTTGCAAGGATTCATTCCACTTCATTCATTCCTCCCCTTAATCATTTTTACCAGAACCATATTGTAACTTGGACATGTGTTCTACATTCTGGAGCAGTTAGTATGTGATGGAAAGATAAGTTCATCCGTTGACCAAGGACTGTATTGGCTCTCCAATCTTCAAGTTTCAACTTATTGCCTATCTCCAGAAGACTCTTCCAGCCAACCAAGCAACATGAATTCCAAGGATAAACTACTAGACATAAACATGAACATAATATTTCTATACAACGCCAATAATCAAGTTGTAGATTATGACTTATCTGAATGTTCACGATTCTAAAGTTTACCATAGATAATTCCAAGACGGGACACGTCATCTTGGAAACAATATGAAAAGGAAAGGTGCAAACATGAAATAAGACACGCACCAACATCATTTTTTTAAGACACTTGTAAGATATGTCTTCCTTTCTATGCCAACTATACCAACATAAAGGAGACGCAACGATGGCTCCAACCTGACTCTGTTATTCGCCATGAAGTGTTTTGAAGATTGATAACCAATAAATATGAGGGTGACATACAGAGCTATTAAGATTATTCATCTCATTCCTTTATTTTGCGCCTAGGTCCCTGTTTTCATATAAATATATATATATATACATAATTATATATATATATATACACATGTCTATATTATATATATTTCCTACTTCAAGGATTGACCGCATGCCAAGGCTTCATACTCTAAATCCCTCTGGACCACATGACGGCTGCAAAGAAGAAGATTCTCTTCCCTCTCTTTCCAAAGCAGTGAGAGTTGGGTGGTCATCCTTCTTCTCCATCCGTCCCACTCATCGTCTCCTGGACGGGGAGATGGAAGGATGGATAACCTCCGACCGGATTTCCTATCTCTTTCTATCTTCTTCACCTTTGCATCGCCTCTGCAATCAGGCTCTTTATGTTAGACGGTACATCCGGAAGTATCCCTTTGACCAAGATATGGAGACTGATGACTGCTCAGGAAGCTTCCATGCTATGCAAAGCCATTCTAACTCTGAATCACACCGTAGGAACAGAATCTTCCCTGATTCACGGTCCATCCGTTTCTTTCCTCACTCTCCTCACTCTCCTTTGTCTTGCTCTCTTCTCACAGAGAGGTAGGAGAGTGATGAGTGTTAGGGAAGAGCGAACCCAGACCAGGAGTTAACACGCCGTGCAATCAAGACTCAGAGAAAGGATTAGTTCGCTCTTCATCATCCCTTTCCTTCTTCTTGTCACCTATCTTTCTAGGATTCTTTTTCCACAGACATATTTATATGATGGATCCCGGAGAGATTGATAGAGGACAGAGAGAAGAGAGACGGACCAAGAGGGAACGGAGAGTTAGACTCAGTTAGACCTGAATGTGACTCAGAAATAAATGAGGATTGAAATCCCCGTGGTGAGGGTGTTGCTGTGTCCCTTGTCTAGGGATCAAACTTCCTGACAACCGTGCTGACCGGGTCGAAATCGCTAATTCGAACCCGCTGGATGGAGATGGCTGCTCGCACCACTTTGAAACCATGGACTCCATATTGTTTGTTGGTATTTGCAAGGGGATCAAATCATTGCAGGGTTCCTTAAGTGGTTCGGAATGGACTTCGTCCATCCACAGGATGTGTCCCAACAAGAAACTACATGGATGGCATTTTTGTGTTTACTGGCTCGTAGCAAGCATCCAACAAAACAGTTCAGCTTTCAATGTCCCCAGATGAATTTTGGATAGCTTACCGTCACTTTGGGTGTGTTGTTTAGGAATCGGACTCCGCAAAATGGCTTGGGTTTGCTTTGTGCTTTCCCCTTACCCTCCCACCAATTAGCATGGAACCTGATAGGGGGGTCCCTTAAAAAGGAAAATGGTCTTCCAGGACCCCCTGTCAGGTTCCGAGTCAATTGGTGGGAGGGTCAAACAAACCAGAAAAGGGTTCCGCATCCCGAAAAAAATAAAACACGACAACAACCACACATTAAGAAAATAAATGCAAGCCCCCAACACCCACGTCCACTGCAAGTTTGCGCTCGCAGACGTCGGCAGTGTGTACTGGGTCGACTACTTCCGGCAGGAGGCGCGGACATACTTAGCCGCGTCCCGAAAATGGATTTCGGTTTGCCTTGGTTCTTCCGTTCCTTTCTAGCTAGACGACAAGTGGCCCGGAAACATAGAGGCAAGTCGATGCAGGTGAAGTAACTCTGGAAATGTTGGCATGAGAAGTTGGCAGGTGAAGTACCTCTCGTCAAAAACCACGGAAAGAAGGATAGCCTTAAGAAAGACAGACCCATATCTCCTTGCTTCACACCATGTGGGGTTGGTGGCTTGTCCCCAGTATAGGATGTCATTGTCCCATGGGAAGAGTCTGAACAGTGCTGTTTGATTCAGCCATGCTTGCGTTTCCTGTGTTGAGTTTCCTGATGTTGCGGTTTGTCTCAAATAATTCCCAGACCGCGCGTAGTTGGTAAGATCCGGGCAAGCATGTTGAAACCACTGTGAGTTGAACAAGACAATCTAAATTTGTCTTGCAAGGTTGTTCCAACAACATTTGCCCAAGCCTGGATGGTAGATGCCCCACAGAGAAGTCTTAGGCGACCCGAGGGTAAGACCTGCAACAGCGGCATACAGCGGCATGGCTGCCTGAAGGATGATTCCTTCTCTGGCACACGTGTCAATCTCTTGCGGGACCCTCCAACACAGGCTTCAGCTTCCCTCTCCATATGCTTTGAACACCAAAAAAAGATCAGGCACTATCCCCAAAATGGGCCAAAGGACCGCCCCTAGGTACATGGGTTGCCCCAACCCCCAACACCCTAAATAAATGCCATACCCGAAAAGGGTACCACCAACTGGACCACCAACTTCATGGTACACAAATCCCAAGCAATCCCAACAAGGGTACATTGACTTTCCAGAAAAAGTCGATCTGAAGTGACCTTTTGCTTCTCCATAATTTGTTAGTCTTCAGAGTCGGGTCCCCCAACTCACTTCCCGAGTTCCTGGACCTGAGTCACTTTTTGGAAAGATCACATTGTGGCGGCAAACAAGAAGTGTGGTTACTTTTTGTGGCTCCACTCAAAAAGTCCGCCAAGAGGTGCTTTGTGTTTTTGTTTTTTTTGTTTTTTGTGAACTTGGTTTTGGTTTGCCATCTCGTGCTCGATCTCACCATCTTGGGCCCCGAACGGGGGCTGAGTACCACCCCATGGAGGTCAAGGAGCTGAGGGAGCTATCGGCGCCCATGGAGCCGGGGCACAGGTGCGCGCGCCGCAATCGCGAGTGGGGTTTGAGAGCGATGTGAATAGGGCCCACCTAGATAGCCAAGTAGTCACTGTTGCTGGTTTTTGGGGGTAACGTGTATGGAAAAGCAGCAACTGGCGATCCAGGCAGGACCTAAGTGCTTGGTGGTTCCCAGCCATCGTAGGGTTTTCAGGCGTTTTGTTTTGGAGTTTTAGTTGGTTTGTTTCCATTTCAGCCACGAAACCATTTCAGCCACTAAACGGACAGCCCAAAATGAGGTCATGTTTCCGGCAGGGAACAGGTGTGTCTTTTATTTGAAGGGATCCCCGGTTGGTTTTCTGCTAAAAGTGGGTACCCTCAGAGAAGACACACCCAAAGAATTAGACTTCGTTTGCTGGGTACTGCAAAACCGCAATACCTGCCATAGCACCATCATACTTCTGAAAATTTAAAAAGCCTTGAACGACTCCCCCCACTTTGCTGAGTGTGCCTGTCAGCATCCCTTGCTGTACGGGGGCACAGGGCCAAAGGATGGCCAAGCGCCCCTCAGGAGCCAGAGGGTCACCTCTCAATTCAAGCAGTTCTTTTGCCCTATGTTTCGGATTTGCTTCCCTTCGTGCCATGCGTGTTTCCAGTATCAAGACTCGGTTTGTTTGTTTGCTTGCTTGTTTGTTTGTTTGTTTTTGTAATTTCGGTGGGGGAAGGAAGTTTGTGTGCGCCGTTCTTTTGTTTTTCCATCGGGGGTTCCCTCAAGACAACTGGATCGCCTTCCTTTGTGGCCTCTTTTTACGACGTGCTTCCCGCCCTCGGTTTTTTCGGCCGGGGCTGCAAACAGCGCAGGAAGCACGTGTTCCGGAGCGGCGCCGTGTACGACGGAGAATGGATGGGCCCGAACCCCGGTTCCTGCGAACACTGCGGGCACCTGGCGTCTCCGTTCGGGGAGCCCCTAGGGATTGGAGCCGAATCGGTGGATTTGGATTTGGACCCCGGGCTGTTGTGGAGGAATGGAAAACTACCTCCTGAACCACCAAACCAATCGAATCCACCTAGTGGGAAGTTGAGATTCCATTGATCAGGTAGCCCCTGGTGTTTGGACAAAGAAAAACAAGGCTACGTGCTAGGATTGGACAGAGAACATGGCTCCACAATCACACGATTTCCCACCTGTTAAGTTCCTGAAACAACACGTAACACGGATTGAAACATATAGGGATCCCTCATTTGTTTTGTTCCCACCAACAGTTGCAGACACTTCATAGATGTCACTTTTGTAAACTGCCAACTTTTGGTGGGAAATGCAGCAATATCTGGATTGGATTTGGATTTGGCTTTCGGGGTACCCTGTCGGGTTGATCAATATTGCTGGCCCCAAATGACCATGGGCAGCTTTTACCACGTGGGGAAATATCAGAGTGGTTTCCCCCAAGAATCATCCTACGTATTTCGGACATTTTGATCAACCCAAACTTTTTGTGCCCCTGGATTTGAGGCTTTGGAACACTTTGTTTTGAGGGTGTCTCACGTTGCCCATCTCCGTGAGCCGGGGCGTCCAACTTTTTAAGGGCACCCGATCTTCCATTTGCGTAAGTCAGAATCGTGTTCGTGTGACTATTCATATGATTTTCCCTTCTTGGTCTTAACGGGAGTCGATTTCGCTACTCGAAGTGTGTTCTCACTTTTGTCCAGGCGAAAAAGCAAATGGAGGCAATGGTTTGGGGTTGTTTATGAGGAACAAACAAATGGACGCCACCTAAATAGGGGGTTCCGATTCCTATGTTGAGACAAACCCATGCGGGAGGGGGGGGGCTTGCCAGATCGCTCAAGATGCTGAAGACTCCACTACATGGGGAATGTTTTTGTTTTTCTGTTTCACCAGTTTTGAAATCCTAGACCTCCTGCTGACTATACCTTACCTGGCCGTTGTTGCTTTATGATATAGAGAGAGCGGGCTATATTCGGTCTCCGGGAAAATGTAGCAAACACTACGGTTTCCATTGCCCAATTGACGGATTGATGTGCTTCATGTGTTTTTTGTTCCCCCGCGTCTTAAAAACCTGTTTGTTTTTTGATCGCTCTGTGCTCGGGGTGATTTGTTGGGCTATGTTCTTGTTCTGGTCAGCGTAGACGTTCCGAGGGTGATCGATATCTAAAAGATCACAGATGTGAACTTCGGTTTTTTTGGACGTCTTCGGTCAAGATAGTAAGTTGTAACAGTAAGCGTTCGGGTATAACATCCCCACCCCCTAGGGCCGGCGGGGTACGTGAAAATGTAATTTGCATTCCCCCCCCCCCCCCCGGCCCCCAAAACACAAAAAACAAGTAACGGGAACCCCCCCCCCCCTCCCCCAGGTGTGTATATGAGGGTTGTTTGGGGGGAGGGGGGGGGGTTAAATGTAGCTTGACACCTGGGCACGTCGAAAGTTACTTTTTCTCTCCCCTCCCCCCAAGAAAAGTTGGGGGAGTCGCAAAATGTAAGCTGATGATGCTGGAGGGGCAGATGTGGCACACGCGCAGAGGCTTTTGAAGTGGGGCAAGCTCATGAAGTTGTCACTTGGTTATGTGCGAGGTACCTTGCTGATAGGTCCACCAGCATTCAAAATGTAACCTTGCATTTGGCACGTCCCCCGAAGACAATGTAATCTCACACTTTTAGGTGCCACACCCCAGAAATGCAAATTACATTGTCAGACATCCCCCCCCCCCATAACGGGGTGGGGATGTTGTAACCCCCGTATGAGTCGCCCGAACTGCGGTTAATCCTGGCCAACCGCTTACAAACCTGGCCGAACATTCAGGTACAGTCAGGGAAACCCCCAAAAGTAGATCACGTCCTAAAAAGAGAACCACCTCCGAGCAGTATGGCACTCCAGAAAACAAGCGAAGTTTACGATAGAATTAATCGGCCCTTTTACCCGCGGTAAGTAACGATACAGAGCCATAATGGTTCCAATCATATGTATACATATACATATATATATATATATTATAAGAATAATATATATATATATATATATATATATATGTTAATATGTATATATTGATGGTTCTTTGCTTTCTCCGTTTCCACCTAGCTTCGAAGAGGATTGTGCCACGTTTCTTGACAAACGTAGTTCACTTCCTGGCAAGTGACCCCAATTTAGATGGTAACTGTGGACATATTGCATACCTGGAGTGTTTGTGGACTTCCAACATTTGCCTCTAAAATCAACCAACAATCCAAAAGCGGGTGGACAATTGAAAGCACTTCCAGGACAGGGCAGCCTCACATTGGTGAAGTCTGATGGGGCAAGAAGGGTGTTAGATTGCAAAATTACCACCCCATATGTCAATATTACACCGACACGCCAAGGCAATTCTTGCCTTTCGGGGAACGAACCGCGGCCCCCCAAAAACAAATGAAAAGGCCAATAAGTTGTTGTAAATATGTTGTGGTAAATAGGTTGTTGTACATGAATTTAATAAATAAACAATCAAAACAAGAAGTTGTTGTGAAGACCAGCCCACAGCGTAAAGCGCAAAGATATGGAACTCCACCTCGACCGAGGCGCCCAGCGCTCCGGCTTTGGCGTGCAGGCTCGATTCGAAGAGATGCGATCTGGATCCCAGCTGGGCGTACGTAGAGTCTCCATGACCCTTAAAAAATGGGTCCATGACCCCTTTTTGGGTAATGACCCCTTTTTTTTAAGAGTCATGGAGACTCCAGGTATTTGTTTTTTTGGGCTGTTCTGTTCATTTGCTAGTAGGGGGCTGGCAACAGCAAGGGTTGTTGTAAGCATGTCCAAAAAAAAGGTCGGAAAGGTAAGATGCATTTACAGGGGTCCCTATATGTCCTTGTTTTTGGCTCAAAGATCCACCAGTTAGCTGATGCCTTTTTCCCCCCAGGCTTGAGTTGTGCCTTTTCGATTCTTTTCTTTTGGAGTGGGTGCACCTTGAAACCCAACTGTCAAAATGGTGCTCTCTTCAGGGGAGACCCTTGAAATTTCCGACTGCGAATCAGCCCAGCCAATGAACCCAAAAGACTTGTGAGGCGGGATCCATCTATCCAACGGGTGTCCTCTCTTTCTGTCTTGGAAGCCCCTTTCTGCATGCTTTGACAGCCAAAGGGACACCGCCGCCGCCGCCCGAATTGTTTTCGTTTTTGTTTTGCGGTGAGGGGTCCGCGGGCTTCAGACCTCACCGCCGTTTGTGTTGAAAGGCGTGGGTGGATTTTGCTGTGAAGGGGCTATGGGTGGTGTCGTTTTGGAGGATACCCTCAAAAGGTTGTTTGTTGTTTTTGTACGGGAAACCAACAGGAAACCTGAGCTCTGAGCTCTTTTTCTGTTTGCGGGGGTCCCCAAAAAGGATACACCCATATGGTCACTAGAAGTGATGCCTTTTGTTGAATCGATCCATTTGTTATTGGAAGACTCTGGCCCAGCACCCTAAATTGGGGGGGGGGGGGAACACGGAGGGAACATAGAAGCCCGGAAGCGGCGAGCACCGCAAAAGCCTGAGCTCTCGAGTTTCTGACAAAGGAGCCGAGATTGGAAACCATGCGCCCGCTTCGGGCACTAAGGATCAAACCTGGCCTCGTGATTTTACCATGATCAAAGTCACCTCCCTAAGTGGGTTAAAGGCGAACAACTTCATCTGACTTTGAGAACCCCAACCCTATCTTTGAGAACCCCCAGAAAGCGTCAGCGTCAATTATTTTATCTGACTTTGAGAACCCCCAGAAGCCAGAAAGCGTCAATTATTTTGACCCCGTGGAGGAAAAATGCACGCGGAGAGGCGTGCAGGAATTTGCGCAGGGCCAGAGCAGGGCTGGAGGAGGAGACATACGGGCAACCCGCTGCCGTATTACCGTATCAAAAAAGGGGAGACCTCAAAAATGTGTCCATGTTGGTTTCCCTTTAAACTACAGTAAAACGAAAGTGCCCTCAAAAACAAACAGACAGACAACCAATAAAACAAATCACACAAACTCACAAACAAACGCTTATCCACTCTCAAAGGCCAATTCCAGATCCACAAGTTTTGTTTCCTCTTTCTGTGTTGTGGCGGCCCTTTTAAACAAAAATACGGACCAAGCTGCCCGCGCAGACCTGGCCAGACGGCGCCCGGTACAAGGCTGCAACCAGCGGGTTTTCGGCCCGACTTGCCGCTGAAAAGGAATGTCCCAACTTCTTTGACGCAATGCGGCATTGCATTCGCTTGTTTGTTTGTTTTTTCTGGAGGGGGTTCCCTAACGAGAAAGGGTGATCCAGTTCTTTTGTTCCAAAATGCCACTGTGAGGGCAAACAAAAGTATGGACAAAGTGTTTGACGACGATCTCCCAGACCTCCGCCGGAGAAAGGTCCCCGCGAAGCAATGCAACTACCAACTGAAAAATGGTGGCCTGTTTATCCCCCCATGGCCACTAGATGGGACAGTATGTTCTGCTTTTTCCGGTAGACATGGACCCGGCATGAGGCTTATAAACTTGGAGTGTGCACCGTGGCCAAGGGCGGCCATAGACCCAACTCGCAAGCTTCCTGTCGAGGGAATGATCTTAACTGCACAATTTTCTCCATCAGCAGCTTGGACAACCTTGAAACAAGGTAGTGCGAACCCCATGAACCCGTCTACGTGTACCCTTGATATGCGATGGCCCTCGACTTTTGGGAAGTTTGGCCGGGGACATGGATCGAAAGTCTCAGTCCGGTCCGACCCGAGCATGTGCTCACCAATGACAAAGAAAGGGTGCTTTGTCTTGGTGAAAAGATGTCAGAAGCGAGAGAGTGCTTTGTCCATGATGTTGACTAACACCCACACCCTTCTGCTGGCCAGAACGTATGAGTCAGTTTGGTGTTTTCTCAAAACATTCCCTCTGATTGCTTGCGCTTGTTTGTGCACAGTCGCTTATGGACATACCAAGGACCATGTTTAACAGGCGATGGGGCTCCAGATACTTGCCCGACATACCGGTTGCCCTGGTCGAATCCTTCGTAGGGAACAAGGCCACAGGAATTCGTGAAGCCGTAAAAGTGACATCGACGACCCAGTGAGTCAGAATGGGTTACTTCACTGTTGCCATGTTTTTGTTTGTTTTTTTCAAGGGCCAACTTACTGGTGCCCAAAACATATGGTTATACGTGGGTTAGACAGGGTACCCAGAAACGATCCCTACATAGAAAACGCGGCAACCGTTGTTTTGGCAATCTAACATGGCTGCGAAGGACATGTTTGTCCCGGTTTAGGTGTCCGAGCCTGAGCCGGGAACGGATAACAGTTTCCAGTAAACTCTTGCGCCCAAAGCGCATCGACCTGAAAGAACCTTTTCGTTTTCCAATTTTGAGTACCATTTTTAGTAAGGTCCCAAAAGGGTAACCCATTCTTTATAGCTCCATGTTTGGCTCCTTTTTGGTCCTTTCCTGTCTGGGTGTCTAATTAAGGGGCAACTGAGAAAGCAGCCAAATGTTTCGGTTTCGTGGATTCACTGAAACACATCAACCGCATTTCCCGCCCGCCGTTGTACCGTTCGCCTTCTGATTGCACTGGGTGACCCTCAAACTGGCTTAAAAAAAGGGACATCACCAACCATATAATAATTTTGGCTGGCAATACCCCCCGTTGTTCGGTGTATCTTGAGGGTCCATGTACCCGTTCGTATGGATTTGGCGGCCGCTTTTTTGGCGTCGGGGTTTCTGTCGGTTTCCATTTGTCACTTCCGGAGTTCCTGGACTTTACTCAAATCTTTGGCAGACCCTTTGAGTGGCAAGACCAAGGAACTTCTAGGAACTTGTTTGGCCAGTCAACTCGATCGGAAGAGAGATGCGTTCAACCCAACCCCAACCCCCCGTTCAACACGCGAACTCCGGGCAGCGGAGCCATCCAGGGCTACTGGAGCTGCAACATGGCCAGCGGCAAGGGGCTGCCTCTCGGATTCGATTCCTTGGATGGCGAATCGAGTCGGGCGTCGGGCGTCGGGAGTCAGGCATGTGGGGTTGTGGGGTTCATCCGATTCGGTGCATCCCTGTTTTCTTACAGCAAATCAAATGAAGATAACATATGGAAGAGCTTTAGTTTCTGGCGGTCTGGCTATTTTGCTGAAGGAACTTCCTTATAACAGGTAGCTCCCCATCAATAATTTTGATCAGAATCTAGGTGGAATTTGACCAATGTTCCATTT